CCGGCCCACCACTCACCGCGGCAGTTTTTAGCCGTCACCGCATCCCCGTAGAAGCCATCTGCGCACCTCTCACAGTGGGGGCCTGCCGTGTTCCCAATGCAACGCAGGCACTCTCCGGTGACCGAGTCACAGTGGCCGGCCTCTAAGGGGTCCACGTTGCCGCTGCAGTTACAGGGAACGCAGGATTCCCCAGGCACTGTGGGGTTGCCATAGTAACCGTCTGCACATCTGCATAAAAGATTGAAAGCAGGACCCAAATAAATGCAATTATTCTACATACTGCCCCACCAGCCGGGATTCTGTGAATGGGTAATAAATCAGATGGACTCTTGAGGTAAGACTGGCTGCAACGCAATTCCCAGGTACGAGCATTCACAGATTCCCTTGTCTCATTTTGAAGATCAAGGTTGTGTCCAAAATAAGCCATAAATCCAAGAGAATGTGCACCAGGTCCAGGCCACCGGGGACTCACATTCCCACTCAGGGTTGTCACCAGGTTCTGGCAGCTCTGGCCGGACCTTTGCGCTGAGTCCCACCCGTGGGAAAAGGCAACACTGGCTTTCAGGCTGCAAATGACAATTACCGAATCCAAACAGTGCTCACCTGGGAATTATCCAGAATACAGGGTTATTTAAGTGTGTGAGCAGTAAATACTGACTCCTCATGGTTTCATACTGCTATTGATGAAAACTCCGATTAGTTCCAGGAGAGCAAACAGAGTTCTCAGAAAATTCCCAGGAGTTCTAACATTCATTTTTTTCAAATCTATACACTGACTTCTCTGATTATGTGAAATGATCATTATTACACCTCAAAACTTCAAAGCCACACTTAACTACACACTTAAACACACAGAATCCCTGTTTAATTAAAACAAGTAATTCAGCTCTGGAAACCAGCCGAGCACCACAGATTACCTCTCACACCAAGCGCCCGTGTACCCCGGGGCACACTGGTCACACACCATTTCTTCTCCATCGTCCAGGTGGCAGGTGGGGCTGAAACTGTCAAAACGATAGAAACGGTCACAACTTCCCAACGGATGGCGCAGAATTTCTAAAACTTTAAAAAGCTAAATTTTGACCTCTCTTGAGCTTATTAACTTCTCACGTGTCCTCACTTGAGAACCAGAGGTGACCAGACATACTGTCCTCCCCATTATCCTGGCTTCACGTCACTGGGCACTCACTGGCGCCGACTGGTGGTTGTTGGCGGGACTGCACTTCCCACTGCCTGGTTTCCCTGGCTCATCCCCAGGGCCAATTAGGCGGCTGATTTCTCCTAGAGGACAGCTCTTGCTCCTGGCACTGAATGGCTCCTCACACAACAGTCAAGAGCCTCCTGCACTTCAAGAATCAAAACTCCACTGCTGACCAAAGTCCCTCCACATTCTTGGGCCTTTGGATGGAGATGTGGAGACCCTAAGAGTCTCTCACCATTTCATCCAAGTTGCAAACACTGGAATTAGGGGTGCAGGTGCAGGAGAGTTCTAAAGGGCAAGCTAGTGAGAGAAAGAGGACACACATGCCCCAGCATGGAGGGTACAGGCTCCCATGTGACGCCTCCTCCCACATCACTTGTGCCGTGTGCTGCCTCGTGACCTGCAGTTAAACAAGGTCTGGTCTTTGATGCTGCCTCACTGCTTTCGGCTCCGTCTGCCTCCCACGCCCCTCCCGGCTTTCCGACTCCTTCTCCCACTTCAAGTGTCAGATCAACAGCTTGCTCACAGTGGCCAGAGCTCCCCTGCAGTGAGGACTACTCTGTGGGTTCAGTGGGGCTACCAGTCATCGATGATCTGGTGATAAAGCATTCACCAAGGTACCCAATGGAGATGAGGCACTCAACTGATTCAATAAACAGACACTGTCCATTCTCACTGAACTTACATATTTGGGTCCCTAGGTCAAAAATTCCTAAGCAACAATACAAAGTTGTATCTCCTCTATTGCCTAGCCCCATGGTAGGTACACAAGAGATACTTGAAAAAGATGTCAAGACCAGCACTAGACCAGAAGGAAGATGTATGCAACTGAGCTTTCTGTCACACAACTTTTTTTGCATAATGTAATACACCCAAACTTTTCTGAGAAGAGAATTCTCCACTTGCATCTTTAATCTTACTACTGGGCAAAATCCATATTCTCATTATGCACTTTTGTGACCTGAAGGTCTCAGCACACATCTGGAGAGGAATCCTGGCCCCATCAGGCAGGAGCTATGAGTGAAGCTGCTAGTCTTACTTGTTGGAGGCTGTGGCGAGGGGGCAGGCACAGGGCTGGCAGTCCCCAGGTGTCCCTCTGGAGGGCAGCCCGTAGAAGCCAGGTGCACACTGCTCACAGTGGTCTCCAGTGGTGTTATGCTTACACGCCTGAAACACATGCATAGAAAGAGACTCAACTCAGGTCTCATTAAAGGATTCTCAGATTCACTGACAAAGAACTTGAAGTCCAAGTGAAATAAAAACACTAAAGAACTGGGGCCCTCCCTGGTGGCGCAGCAGGTTAAAGCACAGCACTAAAAAGCTAAAGCCACTTTCAGCATGAGTTCCATCCCCACCCTGGAGGTGACCCATATGGTGTGGCAGAACTTTCCTGACC